GCCAAAATGAATAAACGGTCCTTAATTTTGCTCATTTGACATTTCTTATCATTTCTAATGATTGCCTTTCTAAGTGTGAATTACGATTTCTCATGAATATGGTATTAAATTTACACGGCTCTTAACCAATCTGTTGGCGGATTTGCATTGCAAACGATAAAAAAAAAACAATTAGCTACCCGAACGAAAGTACCGGTGTTTGATTGGCTATTCACTCAATCTTTCGAAACAGGTATTATCCATAAATTAGGCAGATTGTGACGAAGCGTGAAGCCGGAAGTTCTTTAACGAAAGTGATGATGAAGGTGCTCGAGAAAAAAAAGGGGGGGGATTCTGAAAATATTTCCCAAAATTAGAGCAGTCCCAACCTGGAAGGCCAGAACCCTTCCGACGCCAATAGGAACGAGAAGGAAAGTGCATTTTCAATAACTGTGGTTCATCACAGTTGTCATCCGTTGATAAACATGCGGTGATGAAAGCAAAATACAATAAATAATGATTCGCGATTTCGGCATCAAGGATATAAAATATTAGTTGGTGTAAAATTAACAAATGTTTCGGTTTGAGATTATGCCAAGCAGATACGCAGCTATGGAGTCAAGTTACTAATCACACAAATTTATGCTAAAATAATTATTTCTTCAATAATGAGATATTTTATTTAGCACCAAACTAAGATTAAGAATCGGATTTCTGGCATTTTTTTTATGATGAGGGAAAAAATCTAATGCGCAATTGGTTGGTGGTGGCTTTGAGGTCCAGATTTTAGATCATTCCAGATATTAGATGTCCGGATCTCGGACTTTATATATATATATATATATATATATACATCTTTCAGAATATAACTTACCAGTATGGATTCACTCTTTTAAAATAATTCTACTTTAATTAAACTTAGGAGATAATATAATCAATTAATCTATATTGTTTAGGAAATAAATTATATATATATAGTAAAAAATGTATATTTTCACTATTCAAGTATTCACTGTGACAAGTATTCTTATCTTGTCACATGAACAGGCCTCTGTGGAAAGGGGCTTCTCTGTAAATAAAGCAATTGAAATTTGAAAATTTAAGTGACTCATCATACATTTTTCAACGCACAGTATTTGATTACATAAAATTTTCTGGAGGTGTTCTTAATATCGAAATTAATAAAGAAATGAGATCAGCAGCAGCTTCTGCAAGAAGTGGAGTTCGTTATTTAGAAGTTCAGTATTTAGAAGAACAAAAATCTTTAACTAAATCTGAAAATTCAAAGAGGAAAAGAAATATTATTGAAGAAGAAATTGATTATATGAAGCAGAAGAAAAACTTTCTTCAAAGGGACATTAAAGACATTAATGAAGAAGTAGATGCTTTAGCAGATAAAGCTGAGACCATCAGGAACATTGATTTGTTTATCAAAGCAAATGAACTTAGAAGAATAGAATAAATAAATTAGAAAAAAGGAAGATTTCAGATTTAAAAAAAGCACAAATGTTTTGTATCTTTTATTGTACAGTTTATTATTCTAGTATCTTTCAAAAAACCAAGGAAATAAATTGTATGTTTACAAATCAGTTATTTTAATCTGCAAAATATTCTTACATTGTGATTATAATAGTAGTTGACTATGTTTAAATAAATATCAAATAAGTTAAATAATAATCATGTAAATCTCTAAAATAGTGACTGTTATTAGTGTAAAATACACTTATACATGTTTTTCAAGAAATTATGTTCCTCATTTAATGTTATCTACTTCATAACTTGTAGGGAGTTAGTTTAATTTTCAAAATTGTTTTATGGTAAGTATTAAGTTGAATTTAATAATAGTGCATAATACACACTTCTGTTAGTTTTTTAAAGTGAAATTACAAGCATGAAGTCGGTTGTATGGATAATTGCTTTATTCTATTCATTTTTTTGTTTGCTGATAGGTCCTTAATTTTTTCTTTGATGGTCCTTAAAAGTCTTAATTTCTGTAAGGAATGTATACAACCCTGGATGAGAATTGATTAAACCATCAACGGAGTAATCGAATGAAACTATTTAGTAGATTATAAGCAACTAAAATAAAACATCTGCCCGAAAGGATGTGCTGACAGATCAACTTCATTCTGCGTGAAATTGATAAACAGATTTCGGAATGGTTAGAGAAACAAAGGATATGCCTTTATCCATTTTTTGCAGCAATTCTACTTTTTGTTTAATGGACTTTGAAACATACTTTCGCTTTGTAGATCCTTTACATATTAGTAAATTTATATTGGAAATTCTATTTGACATAATCAAAAGTTCAAGCTTCCTTTTATAAAATTGCTCTAACAGTCTGCAAAAAATAATAAGCTGGATCCAATTCGAAGATTAAGGAACAACGCAATCTGCAACATTAACTGAATTAGATAATTTTAGCTTAGTTTATACTGTCCGTTATACATTAAACACGCATGCATAAACGTATTATGCGCATGCGCACACACATATTTGCAGCCGTAAAGGTCTTACTTGCATGCCTAAACGCCTAGTTTGTAGCTTTGAGGTCCGGATTATAGATCATTCCAGATTATGGGTGTCCGAATTAATGACTTTTGACAGTATTTGCTGTTATTTCTTAATACATCCAAAAATTTATCGATTGATTTATTGGCATCCAAATTATTTACTTGTTATTAGTAAATGCCTGTATATCCAGTAATTGTGCTATGTAACCACTTTAAGTTTTATGATTATATAGTATTACTAAGATTATAACTTAAATCTTAAAAAAATGAAGAATTTTATATGCAATCAAAACTTAAAATTTAATGGATAAAACAATGAATATCACTTATTAGAATTCAAACAATATATTAACCGAAAAGGTATGTTAGTTATGAGTGGGATATTATTCTTGGAATGGTATTTTGTGTTGAATCACAAACAACGTATCACAATTCAAATTATTGCCATCAAATATTATCACTCTGTATGTAAAGACATTAAATAATGAATCTGCATGAATGTATGCATATTTCTTGCATTGTAAAAAAAAAAAAAAATTACCTAGAGCCTCTTTTTTTTTTTTTTTTTTTTTTTTTTTTTTTTTATGTGGAACCTGAACCAGGGACCTGAACGTGAAACATCCATCTGAACATGGTACCTGGAAGCCCAAATTTTGAATTTGTTTTATTATCTGTTTCATATTTTGTAAAACTTTAATGAATTTGTTATTAACAAAGTCAATGATTTCAAAGCGAGGAATGGCAACACTGTACAGAATAAAACATTTTTATCTCCATTGCATGAGATGGTTTGTCAGAAATTCTAAAGTTGTGCTGTTTTTAAATATTTTGTGATTTTGCTGTTGAATCGAATCTAATGTAGCCTAAGTGCCAAGAATGTGATATTTAATAAATAAAATAAACATACCAAATGTTAAAAATAAAACGGACAAAAAAGGTTTTGTAAAGCCGGCTTAATTAGAAATCTAAATATGATGAACTGAGAAAGGACAGAAAAATATGCCAACACTTAACGCTGCATTAGGAATTCTAAATGCATACTGCTATGCTGCTTTTATGGTAATTGTATAAGTGTGAAGAAAATGATGCTTAATAATTTAAATTTAAAAGGCCTTCCCCATCAAAAAAAAGAAAAAGAAAAAAAGAAAAGGGGGGAAAGGTTGGTTAGCAGGTGTCATGCAACAGCAGACTGGTAGGCTGCACATTCAGAAAGAGCGCATAAAACCTTAACAAACCCCTTTTAGCATCCATTAAAATGTGAGACCTTTCAGATTTTTATCATAAACACTCTAGTTAAATCAGTTTGGTACTTCTCTGTTAACAAGGTGCCACTTAGTACCAAACATAAATGTTGGTGCAGAATCTAACCAAATGGCAGCAATCTTAATGATACTTAAAGCTTCATAGGAAAAAAATTACTTGTAGTAACAATCAAGTATTATATAACATATAATATTTAAGCCACCCAGACGATATAGTGGTTAGGGAAGTCTGCTGCAATATCGGTTTCAAATCCCGAATAAGGCATGTCTGTAACTGTGTGTCCATTCGTGGGAGGTAATGGTGTCCCTTCATAGGCCCACTTAGGTGCTTCCACAGTAAAGTGGCCACCACTTCGAGCCATAGTGATGGCCAAGCCTAAGTCGGCTAAGTGCCTGTTGATGGGGCGAGGGAATATAATTTTTAATGTGTACTATGCCAAATTTATCCAATTCTGTATTTTTGCCCAAGCAAAAACAGATCATTGTGTACATAGGAGAACTGTGTTCAGTTACATTGATCTGTGTCTGCTTAAAAAATCAGAGAATTGCATAAACTTGGCATCTCACAAAGTCTTGGCATTGGGTACATTAAACATAGCATGGCTGTTCACAATATGATGTAAGCAAGGTGCTACATTTGGCAACTGCCACCTCATTAATAAAAATGTACCATCAGTTTTATGTAGTTAGTGTAAATTTCTAACTAATTACTTAATTAAGCATAATATAATGAAAATTATTTAATTAAACTCTGCTGGAAATCTATACCTTTTGTAGTTTTGTTCTTAAAATTTTTATGCAGTAAATTTATACCAAAGCATATGCTTTTAAAATTTAGTTTCTTAGCCTGTGTGCCAGAAGTACACATTTCCTTATAAATAATTGTTTTGTTAAAATATGAAAGGTTTCATGTATTATTTTTTATTTTTGCTTCATATGATGGAAGAATTGTTTTTAATTTATTTTTTGGACATATGTGTTTTCGTTGATGAGTAAATAGCATTTGGCAATATATAAATGGTGTTATTTGTATTATTTAGAAGAGTATGCTCAAAACTCCATTATTATTTTTCAACATAAAATAGCAAATAAATGGCTAAAAAATAAAGAATTAAAAAAAAAGTCATCTTTCTCTCTCTCTCTTTTTAAAAAAATTTTGTTTGTTTATGCTACAGAATAATTAGATTATGTTTTATGTTAGCATCTTCCAATTCGTAGTCACTTTTAATAACTTGTAATTTACTAGATTTTCCTGAGGCTGCAGTGCTTACTGTCTTTTGGGAAATGTTTAACTCGAGCTTCAGAATCATCAGTTGATTTTGATGTTGAAAAGAAGAAATATTATTTTAATTTATGCAGTAAAGTAAAGGAATCAAATAAAGAATTTAGCAATAACAAAACAGTAAGTATTATTTGTATTTTAAAGTAAAAATGTGAAAAAGATATACTTGTAGCAGTATTCATATGGTGTCACACAAATTGAATATTATGTGGATTTTTAATGGACTGTCGTATCTAATTTATGAATTCTAATATAAATGTATTTTATTCAGCTTGTACTTTATGTAATCGTAAAGAACACAAAAACAGTTTTCTTTTTTTGTTTATTATTATTATTATTAAATATACAAATGAGAAAGTTGTAAAATGATATAGTTGTAAAAATCATCTGATAATCAATCCTAATCATCAAATAAGTATTAACCCCTTAACTGTAACGGGCATATATATACGCCTTGCTCAGCCAATGCGTTAACTGCCCCGGCCCCTTTAAAAATACTGTCATTTGCTTCGCACTGCTACCCGTAAAATTATTCGCAAAGCTTTGGAATGCAACACCACAATGACCTTGACAAAGTATGCGAAGAAGGATACTATTTCAGAGAAGTGTGGGGAGAAATTGGAGAGAGGGGTATGTCTAAAGCGGTGAAAGTAATGACTGCGCGGTATTCGCTGGTGTTGTTTGAGTAAAACGTATTTTTTTTAATTCTGTATCCTCCGTTTTCGTTTACTTTTTGTAGTAGGTTCCGGGAATAAAGACAGATATAATGGATGTTTCAAACCCATTTATATTTTTTGATGAACTGCTCGTGCTTCATATTTTTACTGAAACTAACCGTTTTGTAGATGAGTATATGACCCAACACCTTGCAAATGAAAAATCAATAACAAAATCGTGCATTCAACCAGTTCAGAAGAGATATATGCTTTTTGAGGCATACTGATTTCACAAGGTGTAACACTGAAACCTGATATTACACTTGACTGGTCTAAAAATGAATTGATCGAAACTCCATTTTAGGGATTTTTTTATTATAAAAACATAATTTTTATTATACTTACGTCATTTTATTATACTTGTACTCAAAACATTAAATTTTGTGCATTCGTTTTTTTCTTTTATTCTTTATTTTGTGAAAGTAAACAGTTTTTAGAAAGTAAAACTTGCATTTATTTTTCCCCTAATACATTGTATAACTACACGCGCCTGTGTGAAAAACCGTGGCACTGGGAAATGAATCTTGTACGTTATCTGCGGCAGTTAAGGGATTAAATGCCATGTCTGTTTATAACATCTCACATGCTTTGCTATTGTAAACTAAGCTTGACATTAGAAAACTGATTAGAGAATAATCCCCAAATTTAAAAGAGAATAATCCCCAAGTTTAAAATATGATAAAGTCAGGAAAAGGGTGTAAAGAACCATTTATTAACTCAAATAAAGTTCATAGATGGCACCAGCAAATAATCATACAAACACCAAAACTTTTTGCTTAACTCAAAAGGTAATGATAACTTAAAATTAAATGAATTTAAATTAGATTAAAAGGTTCTCGTTTTAAATATTGGGCAAGCTGGCTTTGACTCAGAAAGTCTGTTTAAATAAACCTATTGGCAAGGAAGATCAATGCCACAGAAATCTAATCACTAGAAATTCAAAGATAACAATGTGGCCTTCAGGCAGATAGAACCCACTCTGATTTCGCCTTCCAAAACCTAACCTTAAATACTAAATTCTTTCTACCTCATTGGAATATACACGTGCTAGACTATTTGCATGCTGGCAAGAAAGTGCGAGTTGAAAGCAAGGGCAATAAGAAAGTCAATTAAGCGTAAAATAGCGTTTAAGTAAATTAAATAAATCCTCAAATTTTTTTATCAAAATTGTCGTTTCCTACTCATAATCTTTAACGTCTAATTAAGAACCTGCCATAATTATATCTTCCCCCCCCTTAATATTTAGAAATCGTGGCTGTATAGGGCAATGAATGACATAACAAAACTCTAGACATTGGAATACGTAGATAATCATGTTAGAAGTGAAACATAAAATGTAAAATCAGCCCCCCCCCAAAAAAATGGCATAAATTTTGAATAAAACTGTCTTAAATTTCAGATCCTGCTTCTTCATAAGGGCAGAGGAAGGGGAAAAAATTAATATATGTATGTATAATTTCATGCCATTCATCACAAGAACAGTATTAAATTATTTCTTATTTTTATGCAGACACTTTATGTAATACTCTTATGCATACTTAAACATGAGTATCTGTAGCAAAATAGTTGCTTATCCAGAATCCTTATGATGTAATGTTTTGAAATGTGTGAATTATTCTTGTTTCAAATATTTTGTTATTTTTATGTTAGGGCTTTCAGTACTTCCAAGTTTTAGACAGAATTTTTTTTTTATTAAAATGTGAAGTAATCCATAAAATTTTGAACATTTGCTGTATTTTAAAATTTAACATGTTAAATTAAGGCAGAGCTTATGATTTTAGTAAATCATTTATGTTTTGGTGTATATTATTTTAATGTTGCATTATTCAGTTTCTGTAATCCAAAAAAAAAAAAAAAAAAAATGCTGCTATCTGTTGGCATGTATTAAACTAAGAATTACTGATGTATATATGACTGAAATCTTTATAACTAAAATCTGGGTGTATATATGACTGAAATCTTTATAACTAAAATCTGGATGTTATGTATGACTGAAATCTTTGCCATTTTTCATGCTTCAAAGTTTCTTGTTCAAGTAATTTTATTGCTGTCCATCATTAAACTTTATGAGCAGGTTAATAATTGGATATTTTATGACAACTACTAAGTTAAGATTTACTTCAGAATATAAATACTTTTAGGGAACGGGCCTGCAGTCAGTTTTTTTCAAAAAACACTTTTATATATTAATGTAATCTTATTATCTTGTTTATTGTGTTCTTTCATAATATATTTTGTATTTTGTAGGTTAATCATGACACTGAAACACAAAAACAACAGTTAATGAGAAGCATGACTCATTTATGGCTGAAGGTCTGTATATAGTTATATACATACACACACACACACACAGATATATATATAAGCAAATTACTAACTTTAATTTGGCAATAGTCTTTTTTATTCCTCATTTTAATTCAGTTACTTCTTCTTCTTGTCCTTAAAAATACTAACTCTTTTTAATAAAGGAATCTAAAGTGCATCATCTCAATTAATCTGCATCATACTATTTTATGTAATGTGTAGCATTGTAGCTATCTTTTATCCAACCACAGATCATTCTCTTGCTGTGCTTGCATATGTTACTTGCCTCTGTATGCTGAGCATTGTCTGAAGATGTGATAAGCCGTACAAAGTTGTGGGTTGCATATCACGCCCATGATAATGTGTTAAGAAAAATATGTGTATCCAGAATTAGTTGTCCAACAATAAATTTTGTCTTGTCTTTCAAAAATTAAATGGAGAAAAAAAGAAAAAAAAAAATCATTCTGCTTTTCACTTTTTAGTAATGTGTCAAAATTCTACTTTTGGTAAGTTAATGTACAGTTAACCTATCTACAGTAATATAAAAAACTGCTAACTGTTATGATACATAAAATTAGTCATACTCAATAAGTTTTTTTTTATCTCAGATTCATCAAAATGTGGGGTTGAGCATTGTCATGCTCAAGACAACAGATCAAATATAGGCCATTTCTGGGTGGTTTTTAACCTTTTTATGCTTAAAATTGAAATATGGGAACAGTATTTTTCATGCATGTATGTATAATTTGATATGGTTACAATTGCAGTGCACTTTTTTGTATTCCCACCAAACACAGATCACTTTTCGGCAGCATGAAGCCCTCTCTCTGTGTTGCTAAAAGAGGTTTATTTGGATTACCCCATTATCTTTCTTATAGCATTATTGAATAGAATCCACTTCTGATCTCCAGTAATGAGGTGTTTCAAAAAAGGAGCTTCTTTATTTTGTTTTTTTCAGCAAAGAATCAGATGCCAAAACTCAAGCAAGCATATTCTGCTCTGTTGTAAGACATTTCCATACATCGGATGTGCTTTGATTTGAAACACTGTTGAACATTTGGGTTGACCCAATATTAAACTTCCTGTACCTTTCCAGAATTATACTATATTTTTTACTGGGTTTATGAGGAATTTTTACAAATTTTGTTACTTTCTCTCTTAGGCTCCATGAAAAATGTTGGAATAATAATCCTGTCATGCTCGGGTGGCCAGCTTAGCAGTTATATCATCAGAAGTGGAGAACAGGATTTTCATTTAGTGATAAAATTTTGTAGCACAAAGCATGCCTGATTTCTAAATATTTTAATTTACATAATGGAACTTTTAGTTTGTTAACTGGTTTGCATATTTTGTAAAGTGTGAGCCAGATACAAGCAGGGTGAATGAGTAAGGCAGAGCACACAAAGGATGTCTGCAGTGAGGTTTTAAGTGAAACTGACTGTATGCACAAATAAAGGTTAGTTTATTTGAATATGGCAAAGCCAAGGCTTGTATTCACATTACACATGGGAAAAACCATAAAAACCAACAATGCAGTCTGCCTATTTGTCTGGATTTGAGCCAAGACTAGGTCAAACTACCAGCATTCAGTAGTCTTAACCACTCAGCCAGTGGTGGACCACAAATAGAATGGAGGCAGTTGCATAGCACAGTAAATGATACCAAAATTTTTATCTAACTTGATATTGCTTTTAAAATTTGTTTCATCAAATTTCTTATGCGTGGCAGAAAAGTTAAAACTTTTTATTGTAGTATCATATGATCATCTGAACCTAAACCCCTGTTTGGTGTTGCTAAGTTTGATTGATGTTAACATATCATCACTTTTTTTTGTGTGTCACTGGCATTGTCAGTTTCTGCAGTTCTTTTAATGATACTTACATAGTCAGTTTCTGCATATATTGTATCAATATATTTGTGAATTGGTGCATATTATAAAAAAAAATTCCCTCATTGGTATCTCAAACTTTAGCTATAGCTTGCAGTTCCTCTAAAGTCATATTTTCAAAAACAGTTTTTAACTGATTTTAGGAAATTAACCCCCTGCATTGCATGCAGCATGCAGGGCCTCTAGCAGAGATATCAGCTTACCTAACTCAAAAGTCTTGCATTTTCACAAAATTTCAATTCTGCTAATGTTGTTCTAACCACTTTTTAAAAGCTTTTATAATACCCTGAACTAAAGGCTGAATGTTAGAAGCTGCATTTGTAGGAAGCGACACTAATGTTTTTCAGGAAGAGATCAGAGGTGTTAGTTATCTAATTAGTAAAGCTACTTTTCATTTTTCAGTTTGCTGTCCCATTTCAAAAGGAAATATCTGAAAATATTACTTGACATCTATGAGTTCTTGTTGCTATTGTGGAAGTAAATTCTTGATTCCTTTCAAATTTCAAGATTTTTTCCTTTTATCCATAACCATTGCTGTCTTCTTAATGGTTGGATCCATATTGCCCATTAATAGCACTGCAACTAATTTTTTCGTTTTCTTTAAACCAATTGCTGGTTCCAATTTTAAATATTAGCGTGTGTTCTGGTAATTTTCTCTGTAATGTGGTCCATTTTTCTCTAATTATAAATTTCATGTGAATGTTATTCATTGAGCAGTCCAAGTAAATCATATTGTATCCAGTTGCCAGTTGCCTAATGATCTGCATCTTTCTTCTCATCATGCTGTTTCTGCTGATGATATTGGATTTCTTTTTTTCCAACATACGAGCTATCTTTCAGTTGATACGAAATATTTTAGTATTTAGCAAATTAGGAAAAAAAGCTGTAGGACTAGAAGTACTTTTTAGTTTTACAGCTTAAAATCTTTCTAAAAAAAACAGCTTCAGCAGGGTTCCTCCCCCCAGTAACCTGCTTTGAGATACTTGCATTTTTTATTAGCTGGTCATTAATTATAATTCCCTGTTTATGTAAATTGCACAGTGCTGTTTGAAAAACTCCCAAGTTTAGCTGTTTTACTCTGGCTGTGGTTACCAATGACATATTAATTTTTTAACAATTTTTCCTTTTATTTCAGGATTAAGTCTTAACATTTTGGACTTGTTACAAGTTAAAGACAACCCAAATAAAAAAATAAAAAAAAAAGATTCTTCCACTGATTATTCAAATTTCAAAACTAATGTTTCTAGCCAGCGGAAACGTGGCCGTTTGTATATTTGTATGGTCTGCCTCTTCATAATAACTAATGCTTTCTGTACTTTTTCTTCACCCTACAGTTATCACTTTCTTTCCATTCAAAGCCTGTTAATGTACAATAATGCCAAAAAGTATTTCATGAACTTTTTCGAACTGTCTGTAAACATGATGTCTCTATCCCAAAGGAAGATTTTAAATGTGGAAACTTTTAAGAGGTTAGATACAGCAATTAAAATTCCACCTCCTGTCAGCTGATATTCGAGGAGAATCCCTCACTCATTTACAGTGTCTTTAAAGGATTGTTTTTGTTAGCATTAATTCTGCTCTTGTGAAGTCCAGTGCAGACAAAAACTCTGAAAACACTGTCTTGCAGGTACAGGGACCAGAGGATAGGAAAATTTAGGTTAAGCCTGTTTTATTGAAAGCACTTTATACCTGAACAATAAAACCACAGTATACAGTGCATTAAATGGGTTAACTATCAAAAGCTTTGATAGGTACTAGTGGGATATTTTGGCTCTAAAATATCAGTTTTTTGCCAATCTGAATTTTATAAGCGGCAAAGAGAAGTTTAATAAACTGTGATTTTTTTATTGATTAGTATGCTATATGTTTTCTATTAATGTATGTTATATGTCTGAACGTAATAAGTAGCTGAGTATATTAAGCAATGAGTTAAGCGGCAGGCACTGTATTTCCAGTTTAACAATTTTGTTTTTGTATAATTGTTAGATAATAATTCTAAAGTAATAAAACTGCATAAAAATACTAATAACATATTTTTAGTATTTGGTAAACTTGTAGTGGAAATCTTTTTTGGCATACTATGTAGGAAAATTATACATTAAAAGCTCTAGTAAATCGCAAAAGAATATCATTAGTGGCCTTTAAAGGGAAAAATCAGCCACAAATTATTCTAATTTATTTATTAACTAATCCCTAAATGCAAACTCAAAAAAATGACATCAATAATCAGAGATAATGAAAATAAATATCTCAGTCAGTTTTTGTCATCTAGGATTCAAACTTCTTGTATTTCATTTTTGATAATAACATTTTCCTAAATATAATAATAAGAACCAGGGTAACATAAAAAATTAGATTTCTTGTTTTATAAAAATTAAAAAATATGAATCTTTCCATCATTTAAAACATTTTTATAATTGAAAGTATATGTCTACGACCAATGTTTTGCAAAATAATGACTTTTGTGGACATGGTATATATGCATTTTTAATTGGAAAACATTATTGAAATATCAAAATATGAATTTTAAAAACTTTTATTTCCTTCTTTTTTTTCCTCTCTTGAAACATTTTTCTTTAAATTACATTCTCATTTTCAGGCAGAAGTAAATGACTTAGAAACGCTTGTTGAAGGTGGCTCAACTCCTCAACTGTCTCCATATTTAGTTGTAGATACTACTGTCTTATGCCATAATTTATCATCACTAAAACAGTTGATTGGTGCTAAACGGTTTATAATTATTGTTCCATTAGTTGGTAATTTTTTTTTTTTTTTTTTTAATTTTAGCTTTTATTTTATAAATAATATTGTTTTATTTGCGTGGTGCTACTCAGTGGCGGCTTGTGGCTAAAATTAGTGGGGGTGCTGTTCCAAAAAAAATTTAACCCTCTCTCTCATTCCTTTGTTTTAAAATTGTCTAAAAGGAAACAAACATGCATAAATAGAAAATTTATTTTGAAACTTCATGAAATCTTACAAGAAAAAAAATTAAACATTTCTTAATTACTTTAACCAAAATTGTTACAGTTCAATCTTTGTCTAGTCATTTAAAAATGAAATCCATTCTTCTTGTTTTAATTTGCGCGAAAAGATCAATAATTTTCTCCTTGATCTCTGGATGACAACTGAGAAAATTTTTCTTTATTGAAATTTAGTCTTTTCGAATTCCTAGTGCTTCTTAGAAAATTTTTTCATTCTTTTAAATGTTGAAAAGCAGCGTTCTGCCTCTGGTGTAGTCATGGGAACTCTCAAGAGAATTTTTATCTGTTTCGTAATTTCACTAAGAATATCATCTAGATTATTTTCGAAGATAAATTTCAGTAGCTCAATTAATTTGCAGTATTCATGGACATCAGACCTACAATAGAATACTTTTAGTTCAGTTTCAAATTTTTCTTTGTCAATCATTAAATATGCTTCAGTGGTCAGTACTATTTCTTCTGTAGAATGTTCATGCCTAAAACTAGCGAAGCATTTCTTGTTTAACAATTTAGCAGCTGCTAAGTGTTTAATGGAAAAATATCTGTGCATTATATCAATTCATAGTATAAAGTCACATATTATTTCCTTAGCTTCTGCCATCAGTGTCTTTGAAAATTCTTACAGTACTTTGAGTTTCTTAATTCTAAAATAGCATTTTAAAATTTGTTATATATTCGTTAACCTTAAACACACTAATTTCTCTGGATTGCATTTAGTTGTATATTATTTCAACATGAGGCATCTGGTAAAAAAGCTCTAACCAAAACTTGAAATTATCATCATATAGGTTTTTTAAAATTCCTTTTGCTTTTGCAATAGTTTGATCTGCATTTGATGTTGATTGAATTTCAGCAAGGCAATTTTTTAAAGGTTGCAAATTTTCATGAACTCTGTTTATGGTCCGTACGATGAAATTCCACTTTGTGGAGGAATACCACACATGCGGATTAAAAAGAAATCACGTTTCCAACAGCATGCCAGAATTTCGGCACTGCAAGAGCGACAGTGCTCTCCTCGCTACCCAGCTCGGGTGCTGCTTTCTGTGCGCGCATACGTAGAACAACCAAACAACTCGTTGCTGGAACTGTGAAGCGCGCAGTTCCAAACAAAGAATTTCGTCCTTTTTTCACAAATTAGGGGATGGCAATTGACATTAAGCTTAAGGATTATGTATTGTAAAAGTATAAAGAAAGAATTAAAGACTAAAGGCCCACTATATTAAATATTAAAAATAATAATAAGTGGAAAAGGGGGGGTGCTGCAGTTCCACAGTGCTTATTACGAGCCGCCACTGGTGCTACTACATTTTATTTACCAAGCACTGTATGTTGCATCTTGCAGTTTTTGTGAGAATGAATGTTGGTATGAATAATTTATCATATACTGTAAAGGCCCTTATTTTCACGGGCCGTTATTTTCACGAAAATGAATATATCGGTGATTCTGCGAGGTGAAAATTTCACAAATTTTATATAAACAGATCCGAAAGTTGAAAATTTTCAAAAGCACCTAAATAAAGTTGAGAAAGTTGAAAAATTCCAAAAGTACATCTTTTGCATAAAGCATTTTAAGAAACTTCCTTTCGTTCGAAAATTTCATCCCCCTGTTCCCGTCTAAATGGCGAGTTCAAGGCGTTTGCTCAAGAATGAGTTTATTGAGTGGTATGTTTATTGAGTGGTATGAGTTTCAATTTCTAGAGGAAAAAGAATCTGTGGACTTGTGAATATCACGACTAAAAACGATTCACGCTTCTTGGCTTGTGCGCGTATTTAATGGTATTGAAGCCAAACATGAGATAATTTTGTAAGTGAATGAGCTGCCTTCTATTAATTTTATTGTTTTATATATGAGAAATATAGTTGTATATTATTCAAAAAATATTTATAAGAAAGAAAGTTGTTAAGAAAAACCTTGCAACTGTGCAATAAATCATTAAATTTTGGGTAAATGAAAAATGTCTGTTTTTTTATTATTATTTGAGGCGGGGGGGGGGGGATATTCCTTAAGGCTTAAATTTTCGCGATTACGATAGGCTCGCAAAAATTAAAGCCTCGCTAAAATAAGGGCTTTTACAGTATATGAAATTTTACTATGTTCCAAAATTGTCGCAGGTTAAAAGAATTCAGCTTTTATGAAATCCAAATAAGGATCTAATGAAATATGATACTGCAAAGAAGTGCATTTAAGATTTGTCAGTTTCTATGCTTTATGAAAATAGCATTCCTGACATTCAGTGCCAAGTACAAAGAACATAACATACACAACTGATGTTAAGGCATTTCTTCTGGCCTGAAAACGTTCTGAAGTAATGCCCTTGTAATTCTAATAAAATAAAAAGTTGGATGCTATGAGAAGAACTAACTAGAGACCTATATTATCATTGCCTACTGGACCTTAGTGACAAATTCTATGACCAAGCTAGTAACATGTGGTGATTTTATCCTGATATTTTTTAAGTTTGCATTTCTGCAAACTACAACAGAGGAGAACAGGGGAGAAACTATAAGAGGGTCTTAGAGTCTTGTAGATATACTTGCATACATCTACAAGACCATTTTCCTTACCTAAAGACCATTTTTCCTTAAATGTACATGATAGTCTCTTTAGGCCTATGATATAAATTGAAGACTGTCAGATTAATTGATTTGTCAGATTAATTAATCTATTTAAACTGCTGTTCATTGTCATTGTTAGCCATTGCTTGTGAGGAACTCTAGAATTTATGATAATTATCCTGCATTAAGAATGAGATCAGTATTATCTTAGATACAATTTCACTTATTTTTGATTATCATCTTTATCTCTAAAAATTATTTTAGCTTAAAACTGTACTAAAGATTCAAGGTTTCATCTTCATCTGGCCACTTAAACTCATAGTGCATAGCAGTATGTAATTTTTGAACAATATCTTGCATCTATAGTTGTCAATGCTTCATGCCTTATGTAAAGGCCTTGCAGTCATCTCATTGTGAAATTAGATTATATGCATTTGATCATATAACTATTTTATTCCTTACATTTAAATGCATAATACCTGTGAAATTTTAATTAACCTTTATTATTATTTTCTATTCTGGTTCTCAAAACTAGATAATGTCTAAATTTTATTATAAATTCATATTTTTTCAACTCAAAATCCTCTAAAAATTAATACATCAGTTTAAGTATTTGATTTTGGTGAAAGAAGAATTAGATGCAGCAATAATATATAAAAGTTTGTTTTTCTTTTAGTTATTGCAAATCTCGATCAATTAAAGAAAGAAAGTATGGGTGCTAGAGAAGCTATTCGTTGGTTAGAATCTGAATTGCGTAAAGGATGTAGGTAAGAGGCAATAAACATTTTTTTAAATCTGTTTGCATTTTTAAATATATTAATTTTTAAAAAATGTGGAATTATAAGATATTTTAAATAAAATTGCAATTTCAGATTCATAAGAGCACAGCATCAAATGGAGAAAATTAGTCTTGTTCCAATGAAGTATCCAAGGAAGAAAGATAAAGATGCTTGGTATGTTTTTTTTTAATATTTTTAAGGGCCCAATAGAAAATAATTTTGATGAATAAAATTTAAATAAACCTATTTTTGATTGTAAAACTCTTTGTTTGTAAATACTGCTTAGGGTGATAATGCATGTTTTTTCCCCTACTTTGTCTTTTGAACTCTCACGATTTTCTCCTTTTCTGTTTAAACTCAGTATGCCAGTGAATTCAGAGGCTTCAAGATTAAAAATTATTTTGTTGTTAATAACTTCATGTTGATTCCAAATGAGACAAGGGAAAGAGTTTCAACACTTGCAGAGTGATGTGTATTATTTAGAATTGTAGATATTTTAAATTAATTTTGTATCAATACAGTTAATATAGTGTAAGCATTTTTATATGCTACTTACTGCACAAATATGTCTGTGGGAAATTTTCATTAAAACCCAATATTATATTATTAATTATATAAAGATATAGAAAATCTACAGCATTAAAGAAAATATAATACAACATTAGTACCTAAAGCTGTACACATGATTTGGTGGCATTCTGTAGCTTTGACATTCTGCAACAGAACTGAAAGTAAATTATGATTCTAATCTAGTAGCATGATAGTTCCATTTCATATACCGTAACGTAAAAAAATATTGTTATCTTGTACTTGATAGCGATATTTTTTTACGTTTTTCGCAACACAATGTTCTAAAGCAAGTCTCTTTCTTTCAAATGCCAAAGATCATTTGACAAAATACAATTAAACACACCAATGCGAACTGTTTGCACAGACAATATTTGTGATGGTGGAAAACTTTCATTAAAATCCAATATTATATTCTTAATTATTTGAAGATTATATGGAATTAAAGATATAGAAAATCTACAGCATTAAAGAAGTGAGAGTTATTCCTGTAGTATTTTCATGCATTTGCTTTTAAATATATTCAGATTTAAATTTTAGTTCTTATTTTTGCAGGGATTTTTTCCAAATACTAGAATGCTGTAATTACCTTGTACAACAGCAAGCTAATGGTAGAACTGATTGCCCACTAGTCACTCTTTTAATAGGATCTCGTCATCATTTGCCAGATAATGCAACTGCTATAGCCCAGTCCATTGGTAATGAAATCAGTTTGCCTTATTATGTATATTGTTCAATTTAAATTAAATTAAATCAAATCTTTGGGCTGAAGAACTATGCATAATCTCAAAATCGTAAAAACAACCTTGTATTTAGTGTAAGTATATTGAAACACTCAATCGATTTCAAGGGCAGCGAAAGGTCCCTCCTCATCAGGAGAAAGAAATACATAGAAAGAATAAAAATAAAGGGAAGGAGTCTCAGAAACACGCGGTTATAACCGGATTTTTAATCAGAGTTACACTGGCAGCCTACTTTTACTGAGCCAGGCTATCTGATCAAACATGTAACACAGAGGACAAGAAAAATTAGCAAAGTTAAAAATAGGGAGCGAGGGGCAACTGCACCTTCACGCTCAAAATCTGAACTTCGAATAATGGAAAGCAACCACTGAACGGATTTTTATACACTCTGGTAGTACCAAACGCGAGGAGGTAATGCCATCTATTGGCAAAAATAACTGAATTAAGATAGTAGAATTTTAAAGGCATTAGGAAGGATTGGATTGAACTTCAAATCATTAACTAAACATGCTAAATCTTAAATGCTAAAAATGCTAAAGACTGAATATGAAAAGCCTCAAGAAAATCCAATTCACCTATGGAAGAAGCCTTTTGGATAATTTTTGCAGACCCAAAGTCAAAATTATGGTTAAATGTCCAACTATGATACGCTATTGAAGACTAGTTAATTTCACCTTTTCTGACATAAGATTCATGTTCCTTGATACGAAACTTCAACACTCTTTTTGTTTGGGCAATATATCTTAAACCACATTGACACGATATACTATAAATTCCCCAAGAATTCAAGACAGAAACGCAATCTTTAAGAATAAGGGTGAATTTTATTAATAGGGGAGAAACCGACTTGAAAATTGAATTTCTGGAGAATCCGCGCAATTTTATAGCTAACAGAAGATAAAATGGAAGCACGACAAGGTCATTAATATTATTTCTAACAGTGGAATGTCTTCTTTGATGGGAATCTGAAAATTTTTTAACTAAAATTGTTTCAGTTAATGCCTTGACGATACCAACTAGCTCAAATTTTTTTTAGATGAAATTCTCCATTTTTGGAGTAATAGTAAATAGACTGAATTGTTTTAATGATGAATGTATCCCTTCTTAACATTTCATGTAATTTTGTTTTTAGTATTTAATCATTATTAAACAAAATTCATTGTTACTCAAATATTACCAATAGCTCAGCACTGGGCCAAAAGATAATTTACTTTGTCTAAATTCATTTGCAGAAAATATTTCTATTTCAAACTGTATGCCATCTGAACTTTTTTGTGGAAATGGTGTTTTTGTTAAATTTATCAATAATCACGGGAGAAAATCCACGGTCAATCGCAACTGCTCTCAAATAATCAAGTTCATTGGTAAGCAAAGATTCAGAGGAACAAACTTTATGTGCGCGGAATACATAATAGTAAAAAGAAGCCATTGTTTGCTTAACATGGTGGCATGACTTGGCATGCGGTGGTAAACAAACTGCAAAGGGTTTACGGTACACAGTAGTGCTAGAATCAGTTTCATTGCGGATTATAAGAATATAAAGGAAGGGGAGGGAATTGTTGGATTCAATTTCAAGAGTGAATTGGATGGCTGGATCAAATGAATTCATAATAGATAGAATCTCGGATAAATCCTCTTTATAACCATCAAAAAGTGCGAAAGTGTCGTCAACATACCGAATCCAAAGACGAAAAGATAGTTTATCAGATAAGATCAGAAAAGATAGTTATTAAAGACGAAAAGATAGTTATCAAATAATTTCATCTCAAAATAGTGCATATAAATGTCAGCGAGTACCGGACTGAGAGGATTACCCATAGCCAATCCTTCAACTTTACAGAAATATGCATTTTGGAAAACAAAGTGGGTTTGACTTAGAGAGACTTTAGTAAGCGAAACCAACTCATTAATTTCAGTATGGACCTTTAGCTGCCCTCAAAATTGATTGAGTGTTTCAAAATACTTACGCTAAATACAAGGTTGTTTTTACGATTTTGATTGTCACATTAGCGTGTTTCTCTTCTAGTCTATGCATAATCTGCTTCTGAAATTTTTAGCTTTAATAAGTTTCTTTCCTTCAAATTATTTTCAGATGTTGCCATTGAAAATCTTAGCTGCTTCTTTTCCAAATGGCGGAATTCTACAAAGAATCCAGGTTGAAAGCTCATAAGAAGTTCAAATGTTTCAATACTTTAGATTTTACAAGGACAGCTCTACTTTGCAAAATGGAAATCGTAAAAGGAAGAAGGGGAAAAAAGCACGTTCAGAGTGCTATAAGTGTGGAGTGTTGCAGTTTCTAGTATGAAGTCAGAAATTTCAAGCAATAAATTTGCTGTAATGTCTCAAAATATATTTTGAATCCTGTGAAGAGCTTAAATGAATTTCTATTTAAAAACTTGCTATAAGTAATAAAATGTTAATTTGAGGCTATTATTTTGAACATTTATTATTTATTTATAAAAATAAATCTCTATATGGTAATTCATCTCTGTAATTTGAGGATTCAGTTGGCCTACTAAATTTACTAGAAAATTACTTTTAATTATTGTTGAATGGAGCAAAGCTCTGTGTGGTAAATTCAAATGGAAACTTCATTAGAATAGTTTATTAAAATTAATATTTTAAAATGTCTTACAAAAAAAGCAAATGCTCTTGGATTCCTAACTATGGTATAAAGAATTTTTAATGTAAATCTATTGTTGAATTATTTTTCTGGCATGTCTGAAATACATATTTCATTATGTCTTTTGTAAATATTACCATTCAGATTAACTCTCTTTAGCATGAGATTGCTCTGTATTAAAAGAATAATTTTTGTTAAAAATTGGTGTAATCATAAGTATTCCTTCTGAAAGTTTTGCCAGAAATTCTCAAATGAATTTTACTTTTGATGAGAAAATTCTAATCTTTTTTATCAAAGGTAGTGATTTTGATATTGTGATCAAATTAACATCAGTGTTTTTGAATTAAGATCAAGCTAGTGATTGAAATATTTTATTTGCTAGGAGTATTTAAAAATACATAATCACAGAAATTATATTATATTTAACAAGTGAATTGTCAGTAATAAGTTAATATTTGTTTGACAGTGGTATATTTCTTAAATACCGAAGAAAGATTTTAAGAGACTCTGAAAAAATGAATAAAATAGGTTCTGTGCAGTTTTTAAAGTTGATATGTAAGTCTCACTTTTGCATATAAGCTTATTATTATTATTATTATGTTTTTTTTAAACATTTCACTACAATGGAAAAAATGCTTTCTATAATTATCAAATTTCTGAACTAAAATTGTTCCAGTTAATGCCTTGACGATACCAACTAGCTCAAATTTTTTTAGATGAAATTCTCCATTTTTGGAGTAATAGTAAATAGACTGAATTGTTTTAATGATGAATGTATCCCTTCTTAACATTTCATGTAATTTTGTTTTTAATATTTAATCATTATTAAACAAAATTCATTGTTACTCAAATATTACCAATAGCTTAGCACTGGGCCAAAAGATAATTTACTTTGTCTAAATTCATTTGCAGAAAATATTTCTATTTCAAACTGTATGCCATCTGAACTTTTTTGTGGAAATGGTGTTTTTGTTAAATTTAATTATGTATCCTTTCCTTTACTTATAATGAATAAATTTTAAATTATCGTTTAGATTTTTCCCTCTGTTTGAAAACATTTTGCTTAAGAAACATCAGATAACAAGAAATACATCGCATAAAACTAAAATTTATACACTGATTTCTCTCTTTTTTTTTTTTTTTTTTTATCTGCTAGATAACTTGGTTAACCCCAGAAAACTTGGTAACAACAATTTAATTTTATATTAAAAAAATTGACATATGCTGTCTAATTTTCTAAAATCACATAAAACCAAAGTACCAAGTTAAAATTAATCTAAAATGCATTAAAAAATTATAGAATAACAAAACTTGATAATTTCCTTTGCAAATATGAAAGAAATTTGTATGAAAACTCATATTCATATGATTTTACTAAAAAGTTATGTAAACATTTTCGATGAAAATTATTGTAACTATGAAAAGGATCTGCACTGTTTTCAAAACACTTATCACTAAAGTCTGCACAATGATTCTCACGAATGTCATTTTCATTCTGTATTGTTTTCTTTTTTGACATCAATAACCATGAACTAAAGCAGTCAAAAATAGGAATTCTGAATATCAGTTACTGTTTTATGACTGATTGTCTAATTTAACCAATATGACTTAATTTGAAAGGAAACAGGCCAATTAAAATTAAAAGAACCTTTTTATCTTCAAGTGTGTGAGACAGTGTGTCAGAAATTTTAAAGATATGCTCTTTTTTTTAATTATTTTGCAATATTGCTGTTGAATTGAATTTTATGGTTTAAGTGTGAAGAACATGATATTTCATAAGTAAAGGTAACACACAAAATTTTTAAAAAAACACCTAGGGCGTAATACAGTAATAAGTCTTTAATCCGGACCTCAAAACTACAAACTTTCTGCGCATGCATAGCATTTCGCATGCGCATAATACCTTTGTGCATGCACGTAATACGTTTACGCATGCGCGTTTAATGTATAACGGATGGTATAAGCTAGGCTAAAATGATCTAATTATCTATTTCAGTTAATGTTGCAGATTGCATTGTTCTTTAATCTTCTACTTGGATCTGGCATATTATTTTTTGAAGACTGTTAGAGCAATTTTATAAAAAGTAAGCTTGAACTTTCGATTATGTCAAAAAAAGTTTCCGATTCTGGAGCTGCCAAAGGATCTACAAAGTGAAAGCATGTTTCGATGTCCATCAAACAAAAAGTGGAATTGCTGCAAAAAATGGCTAAAAGCCTGACAGAGAGGTTAGTGAAAACAAAAAAATTTCGATTGACAAGTTAGTCAGTATTCTCGGCACAACAATTCCAGGACTTTGTAACTGAAACGGAACTTACATTGAAAGAAATGTTAAATAAAGTAAACAAATAAATATTAAGCTCTTTATTTCATAAATTACGATTTCATATTTTTAATTTTATAAATTCTGCATGCCATCTTACCAGATTTAAATTGATGATCTATAATCTGGAAAAACACGTAATCCGGAATCGCCAAAGTCCCGATTAAAGACTTTGTACTGTATAAAATCTGAAAGCTTTCAGATTTTTCTTTTTTTTTTTTTCCCAGGAATAGGGTCCAACAAAAGAGTGTGAAGTGAATCTGACTAAACTGTGATCTATTTAGAAATGTACAATCACTATTTGGATTCACTAATGGGTTATGCTCTCCATTACTGTGGCTATTTTACTCCCATATTAATAGTTCTTTCTGCAGCACATTAGAAATTTTTTGCTTACTGAAAATGGTTACCTGGCAGAAACTATCAGCCAGGGAAGCTGATAGTTTCATTTGTTCATAAAGTAAACCTTTTTACTTGATTAAATAGTTAACTGCAAGAATTCTGTAAGTCTCAGAATTATTCTATTTTCCTTATAAAAAATTTCTTGAGTATGATATTAATTTGGCTCTTAGTTTATATAACCGATTTTTCTTCCTCTCTTTCCTCCTACAATATAACACTTTATATATCAATAATTACTATTTTCTAAATACTTGAGATAAACTATCTCATGTCTTTCAAAATCAGACTCGTGTAGTATTAATTTCTTATTCATACGAAATTTATATATGTTTTTTGTATTACCTTGAAAATAAAAGCAATTAAAAAAACAACAACTATAGGCTTGCATCTGTTCAGGACCAGTGAAAGCACTCTGAAAGTATACATATACACTGAGCCAGTCTTTCTTTAATTAAGTGTAATTTCATTTAAAATCATTACTGCAATTTACGGTTTATTATCATTGATAGTATCTGAATATACTGTAATAAAATTTTTGTGATATATGAAAAAAATAATTTCGAATTTTAAAGGTCTGGTTTTGTCTTAGTTAAAAAGTTATACACGATGTTGGGAAAAAATAGAAACTTTAAAAATTGGAATATATTAATAAAACTACATGATGTCTGAACAAATTTCATAAATATAACAAAATAATTTTTGAAGACCTCCTGAAAGCATTGAATACATATGGTTCTTTACATGTTCAAATTCCTCTGATATAGGAAAAAATTTGTTAATGAAACCATATATTGAAGAACATTGCTCTATAGAACATCATTCAAAAACATAATGAACTTTAACTGCCATCTAGTTTCGTTTAAAAACTTAATGTTCCGACTGGAAATCACACCTGAAGTCTCGGAAAGGCTGTTCATGTATGAGACGTCCTGTGCAGTGAAGGGAGAATTGGGCGATTATAGTCTCGAATGGGTTAAGGGTTCGTAAAGCAACAACATTCTGTCACAAAAGTGTGACGAAGGCTTACCAAAACCTTAATAATCCTGTTAATGTAGCACTGAGAGGTATTTCAGCATCTAGAACACTGCAATTCGATAAAAAAGGAAGAAAATATTGAGCCTTTATATATATATATATATTTGATTGCAAAAGGTTAAAAAAACATGATTTGTATTTAATTTACAAATAAATGCAAAAATTATGCATCTCTGATCTACATCTGTCCTGCAGTTTTATTATGTACAAATTGGAATATTCATGATTTTTTTAGGGAAATACTACAGAGTTAGCAACTAAGTTGTTGCAGATTTTGTCTATAGATGGTCTTTTGTTTTGCCAATGTGTTCCAATCATTCTGAAATGGCAGGAATGCATCACAAGGATAGAAGAAGTTAAAGTGTTGACAGGCAGAATCAAAACTGGTTTGCCTGATTTCATTCTGATGATTTTTCACTCAAAACTGGAAAATCTGGCCATCCAGTTAAAAGTTCGTAAGAGCCATCATATCAAGAGTTCATTATTGATTCAGATTGTCATAGCGTAATATATGAAATTGCAGAGAGGCATATATACGTTCAAAAAAAAATTTTAAACAACTTGAAACTCGATTTATGGGTGTCTCATCAGCTTAAGGAGATTTATTTGATTCAATGCATTAGATTACAACTCACTTCTAAAACACAAATGATTACTAGTGGTGAAAAGTGAATAATTTGTAACATTACTTGAAAAAGACAATTGATTCAAACGTCTAGAATCAACAACTTAATGCATTTCACAAGAAAAGCAACAGAACTGGCAAATCATACGAGTGTTGTTTTCCAAAATGATAATGCAAAGCCCCACATATCTTTGGTTATTCACAAAAAATTACTGGAGCTAGGTTGTTATGTGTTGTCCATGTTCACCATATAGTCCTGAGCTTGTGCTTTCAGATTTCCATATATTTCGAGAGAGACGTTTTTGTTTTCAAATTTTATGTTGTATCTTGTATCGCTCATTCTTTTCAATTTAAACTTGTTTGTTATATATGTCTACAGCTGCATTCAACCAGTTTCAATACTTATTTAAAAAATATATATATGAAGAAAAATTCATAGAAATCCAATTATCTTTTGTGTTCTGGAAAATATTCCACGAAACACAATTTTAATCCTGTTAAATGTACTATTATATTTTCTCGTATATCTTCAGACAGACTTAACCTTATTTTCAAACAAAAAATATGTAGAGTTTTGAATAATTCTGATTTATTGTTTTCAAAAATCTAATTTCTTAATCATACCTTCAATTTTATCAATAATATTTAAAGATCGTTATTGAGCTGTTCTAAAGTGTCAAATTTATTTATTTGCAAAAAAAGAGTTTCAGATAAATACGCAAGCACCTGAATCAATTAAAATCATACAATTTCAAAGAAAGATCAAAAGGATTGTCCTAAAAAAACCTGTGCTTCTTTCTTGTTTAAGTTCGAATAAGCGAGATAGCACCTTATCAAGAGATAGTCATCTCATTTTTGTATGACTCAAGCTTTTCTTTGTAAAATTAACATTCTTTACCACATCATTGAGAATGAAATTCAATTCTCAAAAGTGCTTTATTACTAGATTTTGCCTATGGATAGAGCAATGGCTCCAAATTACATTTATGAGTTACATTTAAGTCTGCCAAGACCAACATATAAATATGACATTGACTTGACACCATCAGTACAGTAACCACAATAGTTTGACCTTTCAATATAAAATAATCATCAATACCTATAAATATTTCTTCAAGCGATTGTGGGTGTGGAGAGAAAATGACAAAGATTTTTTATCAAATTCATTGTATTTACCTACCAATAACAAGCAATACAGCATTGTTTGCTATATCTGTGGTCTCAATCTACTTCAGAAAAATTTCCTTTTTTTTTATTCTCTCTATTACTGTTTCCTCGATACCCTTGGACATTCTATTGTTTGAAAGAGGAATACAATTAATTTTTTGGATACATTTTTGGTCAATCATAAGGCAACCAATGGCATCCTTCATACAAGTTAAAATTAATGTTTCTCCTATTTGATGACTATAACCACATTTGGCAATATAGTAACTAATACAATAACACCTACTACACGTTCAATAATCCTTATTTACAGGCAATGTTTTAAAAAATCACCATCTTTGTTTTTGTTATCCATATGTTTTGTATGAAAAAATGAAGCATCATGTATCCAAATGAAAGCATTGCCCCCACACACTACACAGTTGGAATAAGGACAGCTTTGTCTCATACAAAAATCCACATTTTATATATTCATCACAATATTTTCTCTTAATGCCTCTTTGAAGAACTGAAAACTGCTCAATTTCAACTGAATTTTCACTGTGGTTTTGCTTGAGATTTTGGCATTTATCTGTTCCTACCCACTGATCCATGGCTTATTAAAAAAATAAACAGACAATACAATAACCTGTAAGCCATGCAGTGAACGAGAATACGGCACCATTTCAAGATACTGATAACAAGAGAAAACCTTTCCAATTTTTTTTATGTGCACCATTATTATTTTTCACATATCACAGGTTGGGAAACAGTTTTAATCAAATATTTCATAAATGCATAGCTGTTATATCTTTCTTGTTAATCATGATTATACATACATAGGAAATAATTATGTATTATCCTATGTATTCCCAAAAACAAAACGATTTTTTTCTTTGCACATTATACTAGCTATAGAATACAAAGATGAAAAATAATTGAACAATACGAACGGTGAACGGAAAAATAACAAAAATGTACTCTTTCGTGTATATGCGGGTACAGTTGCTATCAACTACATGATAATTATATGAATTAAAAATCAAATAAGCTTGGCAATCTTCAATTTTATATTCGTGCATATGTAAATATATGATTTATTATAAGTGATATGCATTTAGAGAGAGATGCAATGAATAAGATTTATATTAATGAATGTATGTACAAATTCTTTTATTATGCATAATAAATCCATAAATTTAAATGTTTTAATATGTAGCATTTACAAGTATTTTATTAATAACAAAAATAATAGTATACAAATTTAATCAGTCATTATTTCATAAGCTATGCTTTCCTTTTTATATTATTTACAGTATGCTGCTGATTATGAAATACGCAATTAAAATAATAATTTGTAAAAAAATTAATTTGCACATATAATAAACAGAATTTTAAAAAACTGATCCCCTCAAATTTAGTAAAAACAAATTTTATTAATACATATTTCCACATGGTGTGTTATGGGTCAATATGAAATATAACAAATTTTGCAACAAATCATCAAAAGTACAAGTATGTCTTAAAATACCGTCTACCCTAAAATTTCCATGATTATAAATTTAATCAGTATATAAACATTTTTAAAATGATTGTTATAACACAGGATAGTTTTTTTCGTATTTCTTCAATAAAACCAGCCTCCACAACGTTAAAACTACAGCCATTGCCATATTGGAAATTATAAATGATCCTTAAGAAGCAGAACTTTGATCTGACTGGTTGATATGTATGTGGGACACATCTGTCAACAGAACATCACCTCCAGCTGTGCTGGTTTTTCTCAGAAACCTCTCGTCTAAACCAATGCTACCAGAATCTAGATTCTCAAAAATCTCCAACCTCATGTCTCTTACACTTTTCTCTATATGATCTTAATACAAATAACTGCACATAAATATAACAATTAGATCAAAATTTTTGAAAAAATGGTTTATTAGATATTACTTTTAATTTTACAAACATTAACAAGTTTTCAGAAACAAAGTTGCACATTCTAATGGCATGAAAGTTCGATTTAATGTGATTGCTGCGCATGATGTATTGACGCAATTTGTTATTAACATTTGGTTAAACTTTTAAATCACCTTGTTCAAATATATCCAATGTGTTTTATTCTACATATAAGTACTGTGGCTCCCTTCTGTTTCAGGATTTCTATCAAATGTGTTCATAGCCTGGTCCCACAAGGTCTGTATCTTAAGCCCCCGTTTCTAAATCCGTAACAAGAAATAAATAATGGGCATTTGGTAAACAATATGTCAGATAAACTGAAACATTAATACGAGTATCAGCCGATTGAAAAAAAGGTATGCAAGCAATGTGTTCAGTAAAGAAGCATCGACTGGTCATGGTCTAGGAGGTTCTAAGCCGAGATGAGAAATTGAAGGATTCATAAGGAAGATTTTTAGTAATGAATGCCAAAATTTTTCTACAGAATTATCATTAACTATATACAACATGCTCAGAACTGTTTTTGTATTGCATGTCTGAAAAGACGTCTGTGATCTTCTATATATACTTAAAAAGATTTTCAAACTAGAAAATAATGTTGGATGATCTGGTTTTTCAGAATTTATTCCTTTTCAGCTCATACTGACGAACTGTTACTAGATTGTACCATTAACTGCAGTGAAAATCCTCAGTTAGCTAGTGTGATGCCAAAATCAGTTATAATCCGTAAGCTGCCATATGGAATTGCATATGCAGTTATAGGAATTGAAGACCCTTTTGCAATGCATTGCATGAATTTAACTTCATGATCCAAAGTCAAGTTATTTTGTTCATCAGTTAAAGATGCAGTGTTCTCATATTTTACTGAGCATAATTAGTTTGTTCTATCTTAAACAGTTGCACCTGTTCAGCTTAGACTAGAAAAATAACAGCATTACTTACTTGCAGTTATTTAATGTGAATAAATAAGTACAGTCTAGTTGCTTTAATGTTTCTTGAAATTGTCTAAACAGGAATTCATAGCCTTTTTTTACTTACATTGATTTCTTTTACAGAAATAGTTTTAAGTCCCTTTATTTTTCTTTATGAAGTGTAAACACAATTGTAATACAAACACACATAAATAACTTAAAATTTAGATTACTATAAAAAAGTTTTGAAAAAATGTTTTATCAAATTTGTTATTTTTTGTATTACTTTTAAATGTAAACAATTTATCTAGTGAAATAAATATTAAAAGTACATTTAGCATATTTTTCCTTATAATTATTTTAAGATTCCTCCCTAGATCCTTAGCTTCAATATTTTTTTTTTTTTTTTTTTTTTTTTTTTTTTTTGTCCAATGGGATCTATGCCAATTTACAACCTGTATTTTTAAAAAATAGTTATCGCTTTTACCGAACAGACCTGAATATGAAACAAGTGGCAATGGTGTTAATGGTCAAATAGAAGGCATTCACATGGTCTTCCCTAACTAGAAATTTTAAGCATAAGGATCTTGATTGATGTAGCTAAGGATCTGGCTATCGACTCTTACTGACCTTGCATGTTTTAAAAAATTAGAATTGAGAACTTTTGCATTTTCTTGAAGCACATGGTACATTTCAACAGCTTTTCAAACATTCACTTTATTTCTAACTAAACCTAAATATGTTGCAAGAAAATCTGAATATGATAATTTATATTAAAATAATTTTAATCTTGAAATATTGTTTCTCTGCAGATCACACTACTAAATCCAGATGAATTGTCAGAGTCAAAATGTGCGACAATTTTTAATGAGGACACAGTAAATTTTAAGGCATCATATTGCATTCTTTGTATATAGTGTATGTAACCATTATGATGTAATGCAACCACTGGGTTGAGTTTATTTTTGAAAACATTTTTAACTAAATTAAATTCCAGGTTATAACGTCAGAATTTAAATTCAAAGGCAAAATAATAGCATAATTCTACTGAAGGGAAAACAAATCTTTACAAATGTGAAATGCATCAAAAACTCTTGGCATTATTCTGCTTTTTAATGAGGAAAAGATAAACACGAGGAAAGTCCAAATTCCTTTCAATACTTTCACTAGGCACAGAAAGGAATGGGGGTTTTTATGAGGGGAAAAGAAAACTTTAATTACAAACATGTCACAATAACTAGAACTGTAAGTAGATTTGTTAATTCCAATACACTCAGCTCTACCAAGGCTGATACTATGAAGAAAATATCTGCTATTCATGGAAAGAGGAAGCAGTGAATCTTAATAAATTTGAGTTATACAGTTTATTAGTCTTCTAGGGAATGAAAATTTATCCTTAAGACCTTTTTTGGTATGTGAATGAGTTTAAATGTAGACTGGGCAGAATTAAAAATACCATTTTTACTTAACTATATCCTGTCTTTCAAATAATGTAAAGAAACATACACTTGAGGTCTTCTTAAAGAAGTATTCCATTTTTATGTTATCCGAAAGTGTATCATTTTATCTAAAGTAGTATTTTATTATCTGAAGCAGTATTTTATTAATGTTTATAGACAAAAAATACTACACCCTTATTTAGTTTAAATGCTGTCTTCTATTAAAAAACAATAGTAGCAGTTCTTAAATATGACTATACAAAGATGGACCATCATCTGCTCTAAGTTTAAAATGCAAGTTTACTTCTAATCCAGTGAAATAACAATTCCTTGTGGCCAACTACAAATTAATTCATTTCACTGAACCTGAAACTAACTTCTTTGCAGTTGCTCTTAAGTTTAAAGAAATGAAGTTGTCAGAAATACCGATTAAGAATTTAAGCCAATGTTTTAATACTTTCAGTTTACCATAATAATGCAATACATAATGTCAATAAACCAAATTTCAAAGCACTGTACAAAAAAAGAAACAAAGTTGCCAGAATTTTTTAATACGCTAGAAATGTTTAGTGAGTGCCCTGGTTACACAATATCCACCCAAAAGTTTCATCTACACATTCTGTAAAATGGCCCATTCGGCATGGTGATGTTGAGTCACTTTTTCTTTAGGGATATATCAAGACCTATTTCCAATACTATCCCTACTGCAAATAACATTTGTTAACATGATGACTAACAGGAAACTGATTTTTGTTTAAAATAGAAAACTACACATAAATAAGCTTGATCATTTCTAAGTTTCTGAGGTGATGATTATTTAAAGAGGATGTTATCGTCCCCCCTAAGAAAATGCATAATAAGAAATAACTGGAAACTTATTCAGTTGATCTGTCAATAAATTTAAAATATAAACTTTCTTAAATGGTGACTTTCTTGTATCGCTTAACATATCAAAATTTGAGTAGAAAATCTTAAATAAGAAAAAAATTGCATTGTCTAGCCAGCATTTTATTAGGTTTTAATACCAGTAACATTTACAAATAACAGCTGTCTAGCATTTTTTTTTTTTTTTGTTTTGTTTAAAGAGTTCTTTATAATTTATCTAGATATTGATCAAGATCTGGTAAAGATTCTTTCAATCCTTTACGTTTCCTTGTGTCCATGATAATTTGGTAAGGTCTGGACTTTCCGTCTAATGGATCACCAGGTAGAATTTGCCAATGGTCAAATACACATTGTGGGAATGCTTGACCTCCAGTATTGGAACGCAGATCAGCTGTGAAACCTAAAAACGAAATACTTTATTAGGTACAATTTTTCTTTTACTACCAATAAAGAGAGCAACCCACACTATATATAAGAGTACAATAAAATTCATACTTAAAATAAAACCACCCGATTCAGGAAACTGAAGTGATATTTCACCATACCTATTTGAATAACATTTATGCTATCATGATGCAGTAAGTCCTTCCTGTTGAAAATCGCCCGCTTCTTTTCTTGGACTGTTGTCTTTAAATTGTCTAATTGCTGACAGTACTTTTCCGAAATGAGATTTTTGTTACTGGTCCTCGAATGCCCCACCATATACACAAAATTCTCCCTATTCAGGGTCAAATTTGGTTTAGAGGTGGGAGGGCAAGGTTTTCTGGGTTCACAATATGCCAGTTATCATCCAGTTCAAGAAGGGCTTCATTTTGTTTGGAGCAAGCAGAAATGTGCATATGATGACTCGATCATCCAAATTCTTCCGACTTAATTCATGTGGCATTCATCTTTAATCCACACCAAATATGGTTTGAAACGGTTTAATGAATGCCTTTCTGCGATCTCCGATGTCGTCACAAAAGGATCTTGCTGCAACATGGTCGTAACACCGTTGCCGATCAAAGATGATCGCCCAGAACGTGGCTTATCAGAAAGTTCGAAATCACCAGTTTAAAATTTTTTCGAACAATCTTCTGCATGCCTCATCAGAAACTGTACCTTCACCAAACACTTTCAATAAATTTCTACGTGCTTCTGTAGCATTTCTTTTTTGTTGAAATTTGTATAAAATACAGTGGCGTAAATAACTTTATCAGTGGCCATGGGTACACTATCACTTCACACTGAAGACTAACGTGAATCAACCTTGTTTTAGTTAACTTGTTACTTCAGTATGTATACATTAAGCAATAGAGAGCCGAACATACGCCTAAAACATGTTGTTATGTGTCGAAAATTGTTGTCATGAAACGGACATAACTTTCTGATAGACTGAATATGTTCAGAAGAGAATTTTCCATGGCATCTACGTACGTATCTCACACAACTCAAATACGAGTAGCCTCATGATGTTAAAATTTTTTATATAGGACTGCTATATACAACCGGTACTTTCCGATAGACTGAAGACATACATAAATATCTGATGAAAGCAGCAGATTCTGATTAAGCAACCATTTACAACAATGTAAATAATACCATGGCCCAGAAATATTTAAATAGTGCAGTTATTCTATATAATATGATAAACACCTTCCCCCCCTTTTTTTTTAAGTTTCTTATCAAACTACCTATTGCAAGTATCCTTATTAAAAGCTGTTACTAATCAAAATTTATTCATAGCTTTTTTGTAGCTAAAATTTGATGATTTCAGAAAATTTTAACAAGAAAACAGCCTTAATTTTCAAGTAAGATATTCTAGAATTTTTTAATTAATTATAAATTAAAATTATGTAACTTACACAAAATTTTGTCTTCATTTGTAGAATGGAATACACTACCAATAAGTTCTAAAGCAATGATTAGCCATAAACATTAATATGTCTAATTCATATATGCTTTCTAATCGGAGAATTTTTTCCTTTTCAAGCAGTAAGATTAGCAGAAAAAATCTCAGAAAAACTATGGCATAATCATTCTCATTTCATAGTTGAAAAGAGCATATTTTAAAAAAGGGAAGGAAATTAACAGTTTACTTGTATTTTAAAACAAGTTTAATCTGGAGAATAATCCTATTCCAAGTATAAATTAAATCAACACTTAAAAGTTTCTTTTCAATATGCATTCACATATCCTGATGTGTAACTAAATTTTATATAAAGGAGGCGCAATACCCAAACCTGATAAACAGAATTTTTTAAAATATTGCCTCTCCATGAATATTTGCCCAATCAAATTACAAACACAAATAATTACTAACATATTTTAAACTTTTTTCAATTGCATTCTCGTTGACAGAAAAAAATAACGTTTGCTGTAAAAATATTAATTTTGCTCGTACAATTTCCCAAGTACCACATTAACATGTTAAAGGTACTATCCCATCCACCATGAAATTGTCACCAAGCAGTGCATTTAATGCCAATTATGGATAATGGAACGTCGTAACATCTACGGTTGGTTTCTCTAAATCTGATTTTCTTAAGGCCTTTAAGAATAAGGATATAATTTAACTATTACCGCTATCCTCACATTTTGAGAGGTTGAAAATTTGGGACTTAATGACGACAGAATAATAAGCAGTGAAATTTTTTCAAAGTAATGGAATATACCATCAAAAAAAGGTGTGAAGTGGACAATATATACTCACCCGTAAATATGGCTGACAAAATGGAAATAGACAGGAAAAATTATGAGATGTGTGATAATGTTCTAAACAGAGATTCTAGTAAAATTCTAGAGGATAACAAAACAGTAAAAACTGACAAAAGCCTGTTTACAAAGCATATCAAACACTCTTTTTTAAATAAACAGGAATCAGGTCCTTCCGAAATCTGGAGGAATGATTGGTGAAACTTTCGCAAGATTTCTGTTAACTTTCATGGCTCAATGGAAGGCAATTTTAATGGTTGATGGCAGGTACTTGATTGCTTAAATGAAGACAAATCAGTTATTTCAAAAATCAACAGAAACAATTGGTGTAAATTTTGCAAGATGTCTACTTACATGTTTTGATGGTAGCCAACTACGTTTAATGGGAAGTCGCAATAAAGACTAACCTAATCTTTAAATGAAAACTCCTTAAGACATAGACATCCAAAAATTTTGGATTTAATTCACCTGCTTTACAAACTAAGAGGAGGTAAAGGAAATCCTTCAGGAATCTGGAATGCTTATGCAATGCTTAAGGATAACACATAAAGGGCTTGGCTGCAAATGAATTAACATAACCTTTCCTAACACATTCACTCACCGTTTTTACTACTGTCCATTACTGTTTATAAAGGAAAGGCATTCTCAAACATGCTAAACAGCAGTTTGGAACAGTCTTTTTATAACACATTAGAAACAGGAACTCCAAGCCGGGATAATCGCACATTAGTGTATGGCCAGAACCTTTATCCTCATATGTCTTTAACATCAGTAAAAATGGGATATTTAATGTGTTAGGTAGGAACTTTCTTTTTCTTTCCAAGTTATCTCCAAAAAAATGTTCTTTCTCAATTTTTTAACAGCTTTCTATAAATATTCCGCTTTTTCCCATTTTTCAAGAAAATCTTTACCATCAAGCTCCAGGCTTTTAATTAATAATAAAGCATCAAGAAAATAATGTTTCTTTACTCTTCTGTTCACTTTAAAATATCAATTAAACAATGAATGGGTGCACAATTTTCTCGTCTTTCAAATAGTGTCAATGTAAAACAATGGCTGTACACTTATTTTAATGAGTGGGTAACTGGATTTAAAAAATAACTTCAAGGTTTTACACTATGTACAATTAAATTATATATAACTGTAGATAAAAACTTTACCAGTAATATAACCATCTGCCACTGCTGCTGTTATGCAATTTCAGATTTTCCATAGTTGTAATTTTTAAATAATTCTAGAATAAGCATTTCAAATATAGTGATGAGTCGATACTACCGAACCGGGTATTTTGTAACGGGTACTGAAAATCGGTACATCCAAGTACCCGTTACTTAAGTACCGAAATTGGTACTTTTCAGTATTCGTTACTTCTGTACCGAAACGGGTACTTTTCGGTATTCGCTACTTTGTAACGAAAATATGCGTCTCTTCTCGGTATTTGGTATTCGTTACTGGAGAATCAATGAGGGTTCAGCTCACTTTGGTTTTGGTACGAGGACAGTAGTATCTGGTTGTATTTGCGAAATGGTGATATGCACTCCTTGTGTCCATGAATGACCTTGAAATAGGGCATGGAATGTCAAACGTGAAAAGGGGAAATTTCCATTCCGTTCGTCACGGAGACTAGAGTTTGAGGTAGTATAATTAATTGGACGAGTGTGAAATAGTGGAAATTTTTCGAAAGGCCGTTCGTTGTGCGTGTGGGGGGGGGGGGATAGTAGCAGTTGGAGTCACTGTTGCCGGCATTGCTCGCTTGTGATTGGAGTCAGTATAGTCAGAAGGGAAAGGGAGGGGAGCGCTAGATGATTTGCAATCCTAATTGCACATGTTTTAATTTTTCATCGTTTGTAGGGGAAAAACTGCATGGATCTGAAATGATTGATTAGGTTAAGTTGCTGTTGTTGGATTGGTAAATGGAATCAACTACCAAATAGATTACTTCCTTTTCCTCAACATATTTTTAGCATAAATCATGAAAAATATTTTTCGTTTGCTTGCTTAATAGGGCAACGTAAATCATATGATCCTTTTTTTATCCCGCTGTACCTACTTCAGAAAATGTCACAGCATCTAGTGGATCACTAAGCCAATCAACATAAAATACAGACGCAATTTTAAACTTTTCTAATGAAAGAACAAAGATAACTGACCCACTTATGATAATTCTTCCCCCTTCTAAAAACAGATTTTCATCTCGCCAAAAACTAAACCCAGAACGCAGGATTGTCAATGCCTGCTTTACCCCCCAGGACATGATGACGCTCTCTCTGGAGCTTATTATAGTGGGGAAAAACTATCGAATGGAACAACGGAAATTATCCGAACATGTTTATGTAAACATACATGTCCCTCCCTTTTTCCCTTTGCATTTTTTGCTCTTTCATGCGTGCTTAATAGAATCATTACGCGATATTGCACTTACCCTTTTCACAGCGTAGTGCTGATTTTAGAATTTGCAGCTGGAGTGAACAGCGGAAGTCGTTAATAGAATTTTTTTATGCTTATCTGACGATGCTGATGACCATCTCCCAACTTCGTCACTTTTCCCACAAGATTCATTCTTGTCTTGTACTGGTGAGTATCGGTACGTTATAGAATTGCTTAGTCTATCAGTTTCTTATGCCTCAGGAAAAAAAAAATTGGAATTACAAAATGTCCAGTAAGAAAAGGAAATTCAGCTTGGTTTGGCAGCACTTTTCCTATACT